ACCACTGAGCCACATCCCCAGCCCTTTTTATATTTTATTTAGAGACAGGGCCTCGCTAAGTTGCTGAGGCTGCCTTTAAACTTGCAATCCTCCTGCCTCTGCCTCCTGAGCCACTGGGATTACAGGCATGCGCCACTGTGCCCGGCTTGCTGGACTTATTTTGAAAAACTCTCTTCATTATAAAAGACTGATCCTGGGCAAGAACAAACGGGGAGGGCCTGTGCTGTGGAGCACTGGAGATCCTCCCGTGTCCGTGTCCCAGGTCTCCTGGGTTGCAGACATGCGCTACCACACCTGGCTCTTAACTGCTTCTATAAAGGGCCCATTTCAGGTGTGTTGGCTGGCTTTCACTAAAGGCTCACCTTGTTCTGCCTGTTACCTGTGCCCAGCCTTCCCAGCAGATAGAAATGGAGGCAGGAATGTTCTCTTTAGTGTCTCCAGAATCTTGGCTTGGATTGGCTTTGCCTCACCACAAATAGGCGCTGGCTGGCTTTCAGGACCCACCTGTTCTCAGTCATCCGTCAGTGGGCAGCGACTAGCCCCTCTTGGTGTTCAGATCCCTAGTGACCTGGGGCCACGAGCCAGGGAATAGAGTCAGCTGCTGATGACAGGTCCCTGGCAGGCTGCAGAGCAGATGGGGTCCTCCTGGCTCCAGACTCCGAGAATGGACTTGAGGGTGGCTCAAGGTCAATTAAACCAAAGAGGCGCTCTTCTCGGGCTGTGGAAGGATCCAGACTGCTCAAGAGCTTCATGCTGAGGCCTGAAGAATGGCCTCCTTTGAGGGGTGAGAGCATAGTTAGCCATAGCTGTACAGACAAACAGTGTTTGAAGGTTCAAACTATTGGAGGGGGACTTACTGTGGGCCAGGCACTGTTCAAGTGAGAACGTTGCGTGCATCATCTCATTTAAACCCCACAGAACACTGACCCAACAGCATGGTCCTTACTTCCCTGCACACATTTGGCCGGGGAGCTGAGCATTGCTGCTCATAAATAAAAACAAAGTGACTCCCCAGAGGTCTCACAGACATCTGCTGATGGATCCATCCACACCCAGGCCCTGGAGAGCAAAGGCCCACAGGTGGCTTAGACCACACTGCGCAGACTGAGGAGCCCACACTGCAGGGCCAGGTCACTCACTGACCCTGTGGCCTGGGGCAGCTCCGGACTTCCTGGGCTGTTGGCTTTGCAACATAAGGGGATGGCTTCTGCTCCTTCATGTCCCTGCCTGCTCTGGGGAGCTGTAGGTTCCCCTGGGTAAGAGCACCCGCTCCTTCCTTAGGGTACCTGAAACCCAGCCTGACTTCCCGTCCCTCGCCCTTCCTCAGTCAGGAAAGGAGTCAGAGTCCAGAGACTACGGTTCTGGCCCCCGTTCTGGCCCCGTCGTGCCTCATTTCCTCGTATGGTCAATGGAAGTGAGGCCTACTGGCACACTCCTATTTCACGAAATTTTAAGACTGGCAAATGACGTCATGAATCACAAAAGCCTTTGTGGCTCAGTGGTGGAGTGCTTGCCTAGCATGTGCAAGGCCCTGGATTCCCCCGCCCCGGCACCACAGCACAAAAGTCCTTGAAGAATGAGGTACTGGCCAGGGGTGGTGGCGCATGCCCGTAATCCCTAAATGCAACTTGGGAGGCTGAGGCAGGAGGATCATGAATTCAAAACCAGCCTCAGCAACTTAGTGAGGCCCTAAGCAATTTAGCAACACCGTCTCTACATAAAATATTTTTTTAAAAAGGACTGTGGATGTGGCTCAGTGGTTAAACGTCCCTGGGTTCAGTCCATGGTATAAAAACAAAAAAACAAAAAACTGAGATGATGTACTTGAGCTGGGGAGAGAAAAGAGAAAATAATGAGTTTCAAAATGCCTGAGGCAGCTCCTGGGAGGCTGAGACAGGGGGATCTCTGCCACACTGGCCAAGACAAGGCACCTGGGGATGCTCAAACACCTGGCCAGTTTGGGAGCCTGGATGTGAAAAGAGTCAAGTTGAAGAGATGGGCCGAAGGCAGAGGGGGAAACCCGAGAGCCAGGTGGATGTCTTGGCCTGGGCAGTCTCAGTTCCCATCTCCAGAAGAGCAACTTCTGGTAACTGAAACTCTGTGAGGGGGCCAGGGTCACCCAGTCAGTGTGCCTGGCCACACGTGGGACCTGTAGACAGTAGAGCCTGTGCCTGTGGTGCGAGGGGTGAGCGCGGGTCACCTCCTGTCTCAACCTGCATCTCGGCAGCAAGCCAACCCCTAAGTTCTGGTCTCAGTTGCTTGGTGTCTACTTCACCTTTCCTTCTGTTCCTGCTGCTGCCTTCAGCTACTCCAGGAACTTTCTCATTCCTTAAATTAGACACTTTCTTCTCAGTTTTTGCCCCTGGTTCACTTGGGACAATGGCCTAGAGGACATTCCTAAGCATTTTTCTCAAGTCTCCTCCTTGTGCATGTATTCCATAAGAAGTGACTAAAATCTTACCACTGTGTGTGTGTGTGTGTGTGTGTGTGTGTGTGTGTGTGTGGCACCAGCATGACAAACACAAAGCCATGCCCCCAGCACTTTTTAGTCTGAGATAGGGTCTTGCTAAGTTGCTGAGGCTGTCCGTGAACTGGCAATCCTCCTGCCTCTGCCTCCTGAGCAGCTGGGGTCATAGGCCTTTGCCACCGTGCTTGGCCTCCGATCTCGAATGTCAGATCCTGCCCAGGAAACCCAGACATGGGAGGCACGGCCGTTGAAGGGGTGAGGACATGGATGCAGCCTCCCCACTGTCGCACCCACCGTGGTATGAGCGCCATGGATTCTCATGCTGAATACAGCTGGACGGAAGAAGTCACGCCAGGGCCAGTCATTGGCTTCCTGGAAGAGGTGGCATTCGAGCCACTTGAAGAATGAGTCGGATGTGAGGTTAGAGAGGACAGAAGGCATCCCATGGGTGTCACGGGTAAAGTGTTAAGCTTTTGCATTGATCCGTGTGATTCACACAGGAGGAGAGGAGAGCTGAGTCAGGTGGAAGGGGACCCGGGAATATGTGAAGAAGAAGCCTGGTGGCTTAAAAGACCAGGACTTCATGCCTATATGAAGGTCTGAAGCTAACCCTGCTTGCCCCGGAAGCCAAGGTGAGTTACGGTGCATCCTGGGCCTCCATTTGTTGACCTGTCAAGTGAAGGGCCTGGGTTGGAACGGGGCACATGCCTGTAATCCCAGTGGCTCTGGATTACAAATAAATAAATAAGAGACGGGCAAGAAGATGTTTAAAGTTCTTCACTGTTCTAGAATGAGGCTGGAAAGGAGGGAAAATGACTTTAAGATTTCAAAGGACATCTCTAGCCACAGGGAATGCGAAGCCCGGGAGGGACAAGGTTTGGGGAGCTGACCCCTTCACGCCCCTCCTCCCACCGGCTCTGAGTCTAACAGGGGCACTTGCTGCTTCTCTCTCGCCTGAGACTGTGACTAACCCGCCTTTGCACCTGGAGAGTCCCTGGTCATCCCCCTGGAGGAGCCACCTCCACCTGCACCAACGTGACCTCAATATGATGGCACTAGGGCGTCACAGAGGAGAGTAGGAACCCCACAAGTCCATAGTGATTCTTTTTTTTCTTTTCTTTCTTTCTTTTTTTTTTCTTTTTGTGTGTGTGGTGCTGGGGATTGAACCAGGGCCTCATGCCTGTGAGGCAAGCACTTTGCCAACTGAGCTAAATCCCCAGCCCCCTAAGTGAGTCTTGAAATGGAAATTACTGAGAAATTGAAACGTACTTGTTCCTAGGAGCCTATATTTGAGACCCCAATTAGTACCTGGCTCATAATCCCTGAGAGGAGGGGGTGTCACTCAGGTGTGCCCAAGAGGCCCCAGGGAGCTCAGGAACAAGGCCACCCAGGGGGAGGACCAGGCCCCTTACTTCACAACCTCCACAGACACTTGTCAGTCACACCAAAGTGAGAGATTCCCTGGGGTGGACCGAGCTGCCACGGGGGACAGAGAAGGGCTCAGGCAGTCCCAGGAGGGGCAGCTCCCTCAGGAACAGAGTGGTCTCTCTGCAGGGGCTGGTGGGCCCAGCCCTGGCTGCTGTGCTTCCTCCGTTTGGGGCCTGAAACTGGAAAGCCAGGCTGCGGCCAGAGGGCAAAGGCTTGGCGAGCTGAGAGAAGAGCCGGATCAGACCCAGAGCTGCCAGGACGGGGAAGGCCACAAGCAGAGGAGGGAGGTCTTCCCCCGCTCTTCATCCCCGTCTCCATCCACGGGATGAGCCTGGGCCTGTGGTCGGAGGCCAAGCGCTTTCCCTCCGGCCTCAACTTGGGCTCGGTCGCAGCGGGCCCTGACTCGGGTTTCTGACTTCAAGGCCTTGGTATGTATGAAAGCCTGGCCTCTGCTTCGGCTGGCCTGCCGCCTCTGGCCACCTTTATTCTACCCTTTTATGTCTGCCTTTCTTAGGTCCTCAGCACATCTTGCCAAGATTAATTTGACACCAAACTGGCATTCTCTGAAGTAAGGAAACTTCTAGGCACCAGAAAAGATCCATGTGGGGAAGATCCGTGGCCTCCTCGAGGCAGACCTGGGACCAGAGGCCCAGGACCCAGGGCCACCCAGCGGAGGAGGAAGCTCGGTCTTGAGGCTCAGCTGGTGGAAATAACTTGCTCAGGTTTTTTCCTGCCTGCTCCCTCTGCTCTGCTCCCCGACTCTGAAAGAAGGTCTCCTCCCCCAAAACTAGGGACAGGGCCCTGTCACTTCCAGAGCTGACTCCTCTGTGTACCTCTGCTGTGCCTGGCAACTTGACATCTAGAATGAGTGGACAGGTTGGAAGCTGGGCCCTTATCGTGTGGTCTATCCTATGCTCTAAGAGCTCTTGAGGGCAAAGGAGTTGGTCTCTATCACCTTCCTGACTGAAGACAAAACACCCTATTTCCTGCCCTTAACTCCATATCTGCAATTGATCTGGGAACTGGGCACAATAAGTGCAATTCCAGATTTAGGAATGAAACAATAAGTTACTCTATTCTCTCAAAAGGCTTCGAGCCCACAGGCCTGGCCCCTCAACTCTTCCTTCTGTCCCCACTGGGCAGTGCACACCCGCCTCTCAGCCCAGAGCATCTTCCCTCAGCCGCTGCTAAGCCTACCCCCGCCCCCCACAGCCACCTCACACTCTGGTCCCAGAGCTCCATGACACAACGATCCTGCTGTGTTGAGGCAATATCACGGAACTCAGGCCTGGTGGCACATCTGTTGCCAGATTTCTTAGCAAAGAAGACAGGTTCTGTCCAGATAGTGATGTAATTTCCCTTGACCCCTCAGCACAGGGCTGGCCCGTTATCATCAACCCACTATGAAAATACATGTACAGGCTGGGTTGTGGCTCCATGGTACAGACTTGCCTAGCATGTGTGAGGCACTAGGTTCGATTCTCAGCACCACAGGTAAATAAATAAAATAAAGATCCATCAACAACTAAAAAGTATATTTAAAACACACACACACACACACACACGTATGTACTCTGTGTCATGGGCAAATCCTGACCCGAGTCCTGATGGAATCTGAAAGCATCCTCAGCAAAGAGCTCTGTGCATCATGATGATCAGCTTTTAGTCTTCAGTTAACGCAATCTTTTCCATTCCCCACCCCCCCGCCTTTTTTTGTGTGTGTGTGGTGTGGTGCTGGGGATTGAACCCAGGGCCTTGTGCATGTGAGGAAGCACTCTACCAACTGAGCTATGTCCCAGTCCTCCACCCCTCTCTTTTAATTTGCAGAATTGAAAATTGAACCCAGGACCTCACCCATACTAGGCAAGTACTCTACCACTGAGCTACATCCCCAGCCCATAGGCATCATTTTATCAAATCTATAAAACAGTATGTAGAGAATGCATCAAAGAATCATCTAAGAAATCTTCCCAGTTAACAGTCAACAAACATTCTCAACTATTCTGGAGGCCTGATCAGAAGCTTAGATCACGGCTATTTCCCAATACAGATGCAAGGAGGAGTGACAGGAGTTCAAACCACTTAACATAGTTGTTGAAGTACGGATGGGTTTGTAGACCTAAAGGACTGCCAAGGTCATTCATGTCTGATCAATTTAATTCCATAATACTTACTGGGTACTTCCTGTTCTGGGAACACCAGTCAGCAGTCATATGGCTCAGGGCAGTACAGAGGCAAAGTCTGTCACTAGGTCCCCTGGGCCTGCCTGAGAAGCACTAGTACTTGAAATATGGAAGTACTATATTTCAAGTTTTCTTGATTTTGGCTGTGGGAATTTATGACCAAATTTGACATCTAGAGAGCAGTGATTAGGTGTCCAGAACACCCTATTCATGCCTTGATCCTGGCCTTACCCAATGGTTCACATCCTGTTTCTCCATTATTTCAACACCCCAAAGCCAGTTCAGGCCAGTGGAGGGAGACAGAAAGTGCTGGAATGTGGCCAGAGCAGAGGCAGTGCTCAGCACACTTGCTCTTGGGTTCATCCCACAAGCATTTGTTAAATGCCTGCTATGAGTGAGGTATGGTGGTGGACACAAAGGTAAACACCACAGGGGGTCCCCACCCTCTGGGTTCCTGGGAGAACACCGGAGGTGTCAGGGTGCTCCCATAACAGTCATGGGCAATGGGATAACTGGGCCAAGCCAAGGCCAATAGGTCAAAAGAACAGCATTAGAGCTGGCAGGGTGGCACATGCCTATTATTCCAGTTACTCAGGAGGCTGAGGCGGGAGAATCTCAAATTCCAGGCCAACTTGATCAATTTAGCAAAAGCCTGACTGGAAATGA